TTTTTTTTCACTTGAGAATAAAAACTTTGGCATATTTCTCCAAAACAAAAACACACAACAGAACTATACAATGACTTTTACCAACATCTCAATATAACTAACACTGACAAACATTATTTGTTCAGATATTTCAAATAGCTAATTTTAGTTTAATGTATACACTCCCTGCAGAAAGTACAACTTTTTTTGATATTTCACTATCAATATTCTACTGATCTGAACTGCATGCAAGCAACCCGAAAGGAAGTCCAGATACCTATGCTTATATATGAGGTTAAGTATGTACAATAAAAAGATACAGGTTACAAGGAGCCTAAAATATGTTTAAGGTACAGCTGGAGATGACATTTCCAAATCTGTAAGTCATACTGCTTACCAGAAACAAAATGGAATATCTAAAAAGTATAAAACTGGGAAAAAATCCTTCTATGGAGAACTAGCCGAGATCATAAATTGTTGATAACACAAAATGTAATTGATCTATTAATTATATAATGAAAGCCTAAAAACAGGTCAAGCCACTTATCTCTGTATACAAAATTAATTTTCTCTTTGTACATCTATGGAAAAAATGATACCACAATGCCTCAACTCAGAATGATTTTGTTTGACTTTTCAATATCAATGAAGAAAAACAACAAAACACTAAAGCACATTTGACAGAGACATTGCAGTAGCCATCCATTATAAAATATGAAGCTATGAATACTACTATCAAAAACTTTTTTTTACAAACACAATATTGATACAGCACTTAATTTAGTAAGTATTTCATATCATTCCCTTATCTTAAGCAAAACTTCTTGTGCTTCAGATTACAATATCACCAGCTCACAGTCTTCTACTTCACTGAAGTGGCTATTTAAATCTGATGCCCATTCGTCCATGGATCGCTCCTGAAAATGACAATAACAAAAAGTTAGTACAAGCATAAGAACCAACTACATCTACACTATTCTTTAGTATATCTTGTAATTCAGGATATACTGCCAATATTTCAAGTGAGTTACATCAAAGCCAAAACTGCAATGCCAAGATATATCTTTCCTTGAAATAACTGATACAAGTACTTTGTCACCAAAGAGTCAATTATTAGTCTTTTCTACCTATCTCGCCTGTTTACCCTTTACCTTGATTTTCAGAAAGGTTCTCTTCTCCTTTTTATTAGTAGTATTTCAGTACTATAATAAATATTATATCAATAATAATAATAACTACTGATCTTTCCCCACTGAATCCAGGTAGCGTGACTGTCACATTATGAACATTTGGCTGAGGGCCAGGTGATGGGAATATGCCATCATGGAAAAATTTGGCTCAAAACTCGGATGACAATAATATACCATATTGAAATATTAAAAATGCTTCTGCAGAAAAAGATTACTAGATTCCAAAGGGGACACAAAGAATCTTGACACCACTTACAAGCATTCATGTGAACCAAGCCTACAAGCTACACACCCAGGAGAGGTGCCTCTCAAATAAGCCAAATAATGGATTTTGGACCATATATACCAGGATAGAAATAGTAAATAACACAAGAAAAAAGAAAAAAAATCACAGAATAGGAAAATCATATGAATCACTGGCATCTATTAATTGCCTCATTGGTGACTAAATCCCTGAGAAGCTATCTATGTGCAATGAAAATCACAGAAAACACAGTGGACTACTGTACTTAAAACTGCAACCAACTGGGTCAATATGTCATATAATTATGTCTATATATTTACATGCAATGGGTTTACAACTTTTTAGAGGTTGAGAATTTTTGTTGTTATTTTTCTATCTATTACAACTCTCTCTAACCCTGAATCTAAAGACACATCCAGAGAGCAGGCCTGATCAGCACACATGCCCAAGAAGTGGCATCCAAGGTGAGCAAACTGCTACTCACAAAACAGCTGCTTTTAGCCCATAGCTTGCTTGCCTCTAACATCATTTCTCAGGCATGCCCACCAATCATTCCCTCATCTGGACATGCCTTAAAAGGAGAATTCACCATGGCTTAAAATTGCACGTCTTGATTAGGCTATATTTTCTGCATAAAAAAACGCTAAATATATAAAATCAGGATAGATCTAACATAAGTATTTTTGGGAGTAATTGGGGGAAAATGCAACCCCTGAGATGTACCAATGAAAAAGAAAAAAAAAAAAAAAAAAAAAAAAAAAAAAAGTGGAACTTTGATGTTAAAACTATATACAACGAAGCGCAATTATATACTCTTTATTATACAAAAATTATTTATGAGTTGCCTCCAACCAATATCTTTTTATATGAAATGAGTAGAGCAAGTAAGGGATTCTTAGGGACGGTCCCCTTAACCCATTTACGACAGGTGTCCCACATACGAGACACCCAGAAAAGTAAACATTGTCGGGCGTCCCACCAGTGTGATGCTGGATCGGAGCGCCAGATTCCAGGCAAGGCCCACCCGCCGATTTTGAAGCCAACCTGGAACTATTTTTTTTCGGCTACAAAATATACCATTGCTAGTGGGTTAACCAATTAACGCCGGTATATTTTGGAGCAGAAAATAAAAGATTCCGGGTGGCTACAAAATTGGCACGCGGGGCTGGCCCGGACTCTGTCACACTGGTGGGACGCCCAGCAATGTTTATTTTTTCGGGTGTCATATGTGGGATACCCGTCGTTAGTGGGTTAAATGAGGAGTGTGGTTGAGCAGCAATGGGTTTACCAGTGAGGTCAGGGTGGACAGTGCATTGGACTTGGGACTTGGGAAAAGGTGTGAATGAACGGCACAGCTACGGAAAGTGATTTTGCTCACTTGTTTTTGAGGCATTGTTGGAAAAGTAAGGTATTACAGAGTACAGGGCTAATCAATCCTACTTGGCTGGGTTAAACAGAGTACTTGAAAGAGTTGTAGAGGAGACAGGAGAAAGAGAACAGAAAAAAAAAGGTGTAGAAAGAGGACAGGAGGAGAGGACAGGAGGAGTGTGGAGTGATGGGGTGCTGTGATGGGAAGGGCAATAAGGCTGAAGACTTGTAATAAGGGAGAAGGAGATAGGGTGCATTTTGGAGGTGGAGTTACCTGAGTAGATGATTTGGGATAGGTTAAGTAGACATCAAGTGTGGCCAAGGGGGTTGTAGCAGCAGTGATACAGTTTAATTCTTAGATATAACTAGCTTCATATCAACCAACTACTCTAGTATTATACTCCAAACTTTCACATTAAAGTTCAGAGGTGATAAAGAGACCAATTTTTTCATACAAAAGCCTATGAAAAGTGAAAGACAGAAACAGCAGGACCTATCTTGAGGCAATAGTGAGGCAAAGGCACCATGTTAACAGGGAGTTGACTTTCCTTTCCACTGGGGGAGTCTTCTTTACTTACCATATCTACTTCTACTTTGAGATCAATTCATGAAAAAAGACTTCAGAAAATAATAATGATCTCCTAAATCCAGTCGTGTTCTGCCTTTGATTTAACCCGCTGCCACCAGGGAAGGCACATACAGACATGCCATGCCCACTGTGACTTTAGTTTACTGTGTTTGCAAGCTAATTACAAGTAGCATTCTACCTTCTCACCTGTTTTACCCTTTTCCTGGATTTTCAGAAGTATCTTCCGGTATCTTATATTGCTGTTAGTAAAAGTTATTAACATTATAACTATAAAGTCTATAATAATAATAACAACAGCATCAATATTAATAAAATTAGTAAAAAAAAACTTAGTGAAATTGGGTGAGGATACAATGTCAGCTAACTGACTTTATAGCTTGCCTTAATTCATTATTGAGAGAACGACAAAATAAGTATAGAGAACTGTATATATATAAATATATAAATATATTTTTTTCTATTTTTCTTTCTTTCTTTCAGTAATGTGCAAGAATAACTGTATGTTTTTTTTCTGTTCTGTTCTGTTTTTAGGAACGGAATATCTTTTCCACCATTAGGATTTATGTACTGTTCCCTGCCCTAGTTTCCTTTGTGAATATTGTTCAAGCACCAAGTCAATTCTTAGGCTTTCCATTCCTTGAATTTACACAAAAAAAATGTCTTTTTTTAATGCTATTGACACATATTGACACATTATTGAAATTATGATTATCATAATGTTTTCAAAATACTAATAACAATAAAAATAAAACCTTTAAAAAAATCAAGGAAATGGCTAAACAGGTAAGACAGGTAGGACCTATTATTGAATCCTTGGCAACTAAGCAGTCATAAAGCCACCTCTGTGTAAACAAAATTAATAAACTATAATTACAGTGGACATGTCATGCTAACCAAGACAATTAGGTTAACCCTACTTGCACATCAAACTTATCTGGTGCCATTGAAAAGCTCCCTTATCTCCTCAGATCAGCTTGAGACAAAGAAATTTGTATTGGTCACACTTTTTCCAAATGTCATTCCTAAACAAACCCAATTCCAAAACAAATTTTAAACTTGGGATACATGTCATTCTATTAACCCAATAACCCTGGGTAAAAAAGTTTGGCAAGTGGATATGATTGCAGGGTTGTTGGTGCACATCAACAGTTTCCCTTGTTTGTGACATTCAGCACCTAAAAGCTTTATTTTGATATAATTTTTTAAAATATAAAAATTTGAAAGGTTTACCTTCCCTTTCACTGCTACCACAGAAATGTTGCCACTACTATCAGAGAGAAACCTCCATCCAATGAGCCGACAGTGCAGGAATGGTTGTGATTCAATAATACCCGCTACTTTGTCCACAACAGTCAGGGCATGTAAGGAGCAAGGGGTTATTATCTTAGTCTGATGTTAGACTCTCTACCATGTGTACGTTACTTCCGTGGCAAGATGCTTTGCTGGTAATGTAATCCATAAAATAGCAATGAGGCCTCATACCTGTTTGTATCAAAGCCACAATCCAGGTATTTATTGATGCATATACTGCATAGAAACAAATACACCAATTACCCACACACCAGTTAATCACATACACTGCCAGGTTTATGCCTATCCTGGAGATTAGGCCTTTCAATTTTTAGCTTGGCCAGAAGAATTGGCTTAAAATACCAGCAAAAATATCCAAGGGAAAAAGACTGCCTTCTGATAACACATGTTGATATTTGTATTCCAATACATTTTCATCTACTCAGAAAAGATCATATTTATATCTGTGTATTTAAAAAAGTCTGAGGATTTTATATTACATTTGTTTCTATTACTGTTACTAATTATAAACTATGACTCAAAATGAAACCTTCAATTTGTGAAGAAATACTCTCATCTAGCCAGAATGTGTGTACAATTCTGATATATGATAATGGTTAAAAATACAGGTGGCAAATTCATATCAGTGTACAAACATAAGTAATATATATTCAACTAACATACCTTATTGCCTGCATTTTAGAAATGCCTCAAGATGTTAACAATTTACCCTCAACAAAGCATGAAATACTTACAAAAACACTATTCACTTTCTTCTTCTTCTTCAAGACCTTTCCTTTGCCAGAAGTGAATGTGTCCGATATCGAGGAGTCATTGCTTGACTGTGAACTATTAGCGTCCACTTTCTTGCTCTTCTTGGGTGCCCTCTTTGTCTGAGGCTTCTTCTTTCTCTTTGGCTTCTCAGGAGAGGTATCCTGTAGGCCAGAGATAATTACTAAGCTGCTAAACTAACTATATGAAAAATTGTTCAAGATGGTGAATACCTTTCTGTAATCTCAGATTTGGGGGGGGGGGGATCTGAAATCAGCTACAATACTAATATATATATAATTCATATACTAAACAGATCAGCCTTTTTCTATCACAGAAATGAATCAGAACTTGCTTTCAATGTTAGTTCCAATGCAGTCTTTATGAAACAATAATTTCTTACAACAATACTGATAGCAACATAAGCATTATCACAGTAATAACATTGTTGTTATAAGTCATAACAATAATAATCATAATCACAGTAAAAGCAAATCATACAATAAGAAGTCCTTACAAGGTTTATGGGCATAGGCCTATAGAAAAATGGTAACTGAATTTATAAAAGGATTACCACGTAAATAACTCTTTTGCCCCTTTCTGTTCTCAGAGTTTCAAGAAGGCAAAGAAAGGAAAGTTTTAAAAAATTAAATGATGTAGATACTTGAGCACTGGAGGGGTCAGAACCAAGAAAAAATTATATATGAATGGTATAAAATATTCTCATCTTGCAAAAGTTCATAAAAAATGAATATCCACAGATTTATATAAGAAGCATTAAGAAGATAGACAAAACCTTGAAATTTCTGCATTCCAAAGAAACATTGCCTTGTCTATATATTTACATTTCTTTATAAACTTACCTCATCCTCTGTTTCTGTTGCTGTATCCCCTCCTCCATATTCCTTTACGAATTTCTTCCTTATTTCTTCTAAGACTCCTCTGTCATAAGATTTTCTTGCTGGCTGGAAAGCAAGAATTCTAATATATATACACATCTGACTTTGAAAAATACTTTTAAGCTGTGAATATGGCAGGACACATTTTTGTACTTCTATGATATTAAATGTAGGACTAATGCCAACAATATGGATTTTCATTAACTTTTTAAGATATACAGGTTTATACTGAAAAGAAATCTAAAGTATTTGATTTCTGAAAAATACCTTAGAAAATGATTTTTCCGGTGAATTTCCTAGCTGCCTGGCATCATATTCTTGGCCAGATGAAGATAATTGTTCCTTCTGTGGGACTTGATTGAGTAACATCTCATCCAGTGTCAGCTGGCGCTCTGTACCCTCTTCCTCTTCAAAAAGAAGTGACACATTTCCAACAGTCTCCTGCTCTTTTTCTTCATTGTTCTTTATGTTAACCTGTCTCTTGGGTCTGTTAATACTGGCTTCAGTTGGCTTTTTGACAACAGGCTTGGTTCTTGGACCTTTCCTAACTCTTGATCTTGAGTTCTGACTTACATTGGACATTTGTGAAACGGACATTGTGGTTGTGCTGCGACCATGAGCTATCATGCTAGCTGAACAACTTATGGACGAGTAACTTTTCACACCAGGGCGAAGACGACTCCAGGAAAAACGGGAGGGCATGACCGAAGACTGATTAGGTGGCTGGCAATATGACATAAAGCTATCTGTCATATTTGTAATTTGGAGTTGTGAATTTTGGCCTGTTCTCTGGACTGGAGAAAGATTTAATCCACTTTCCTCAACCTCAATTTCATCATCAAAACCAAAACACACAGCAATATCTTCTTTGACCTCTTTGGGTGGCAGTGGTTCATCAACAGTCAAAGATACCATATTCTCTACCCTTGGAGTTGATGAGCCTCCAATATATTTGGACATGTGTTTTGATATGGCTGGAGTAGGTAGTGTACTAGCCGATACCATTGGCATAGTTACCGGAGAACCTGCTGGACCAGGTACAAATGAACTTGCAGTTTCTCCTTCAAATCCTTCAAATACATCTTCAGTATCATGTGTATCAAAATAATCATCATAATCATATTCTACTGCAACATTTGTTCTTTCTGATTCATTGCCTCTTGCCTTTCCATTCTCTCTAATCCTAGAATTTTCATTTCCATCCTCTCTCATAGATTCTTTCCCACTTAACCTTGTTGACTCCTCCCCTACAGGTCTACAAAATTTGGGTGCTAGAATGCTCGTCTGCCAACTTGGATCTGTAGTCAGAAGTGTTGGCTTTGTTCTAGGCTTAGGTTTTTCTCGCTTTGTACGTCTTGTTCTCTTTCTTCTGGATTTCTTTGTTATTCCCTCTTCATCAGCATTGAAAGTAAACTCAAACACATCTCCTCCAATCCTTAGAGATCTTCTTTTCTTTTCTGTTGGTGTCTTACTCTTCTTCCTCCAAGTATTCCAGATAGGCAATTTGGGTTTGCTTGATATTGACGATTCATTTGGAGATTCTGCTGCTTTTCCAGCCGGAATGCTGGGTGAAGTTCCCGAAGGTTCCTTCGTGATTCTAGTAATTTTCTTGGACTGGGAGGGTGTTTCTGAAAGGGGTTTCTTACCCTTTACTGGAGGGGAAGAAACATTTTTTCCTGGCTGAAGCTTTCTTCCTTTTGCTCTTTTATTCACTGGCGATACTTCATCTTCTTGTGTTCTGCTTTCATCAATATTCTGTCGAAGTTTACCTTTTTTAACTGCTGTATCTGTACCTTTGGTTACTGTTTTACTTCCAAGTTTGTTGACACTTTCTTCTGAGGTACTGGGGGAGACTTTGTTTGCATCTGATTTTTCATCAGGCTTTGCCTTTCTGGCACTAGATCTTTTTACTAGAGTTTGAACAACAATCTCTTCTTTATTCCCATGATCAGTTTCCTCAACTGCAGACTTTGCCCTTTTTCCACTACTCCTAGGGCCTCTAGTCTTACCTTTATTTTCTTTGTTAATTTTGGGAACAGTTTTGTTTTCTGATGATTTTTCTTGCATTGCTCTAGTCCTGGTGGAACGTCGAGCTGAAGGCTCCGAATTTATATTTTCCTTATCTGGTTCGGGGATCTGATCTGCAATTTTATCTGTGGCTGAAGCAGGCGGAGAATCCTTTAGCACTTCTTTTCTTCCTCTTCTTTTAGTTACAGTCTTTATGCCTTCTGTCATATTTTGCTCCTTGCTCTTGTTATCTTTTTTCTCCGGTTTCTCTACATGGGAGCCCTGTATTTTCTTCCCTCGTGTGGATTTCCTTACTGGAGCTTCAGTAACGTTCTCCTTATCTACATCTTTGCTGCTTTCTAGCTTCCTTTTAGCCTGGCTTTGTGTTACAGCATTTGGTTTCTTGCCAACAGTACTAAAATGCATAATATTATTCTTCTCCATCAAGGGGGATGATAAAGGATTCTGTACAGCATTTTTTTCTTTTATAACATTTTTGTTTTCTTTATTTTGCTGTTCCACTCTTGAAGCTAGAGGCTTCCTGCGACCTATAATAGGTGATGATGGGGTTCCTGTAATCAGATCTGCCTCTATTTTTTTGGCAAGAGACTGAGGTGTTCTTCCATTGGACCTCAGCTGGGATAAAACCTTCCTCTGAAGAACAGGAGACATTACTCCCTTTGGTGTGGGGGTTGACTGCCCTCGTCTTTGGGCTGGAGCCATGATGAGTCACTTGGTACCTCGCAGGTCACACTAGAAGAAAAAATCTGCCACAGAATCTGAAACAAAAACTTTGTGCTTGAGAGGCTTAAACTCAATATTTCTTGCAAATGCAGCGTTTCTCTACTAAAAAGAATTTTCATAACTGTATAAATTAAAATATAAAAAAATATAATGTTTACCATTTTCACTGTCCATTCTTAAGAATGTATTACTGAGAAGGGTTAAAACAAATGAAAAATAATATGCTTATTATGGGAATCAATTAATTTAATCTAGTTAAGAATAAGGGACAAATGGAGGTTTATTCAAGTAATTGTATATCTATATTTCTTACTTATTAAAAATTTATTTTTTTACTGACATTCTTCCTATAAGACAGCAAATACAGTCAAATTAATTATCAAAAACTAAATAATTATGATATTATAGGTCCTTATAAAAAATATTTATTCAACAACTATGATAAGCAATTGAATAACAGTACTGCTAATGGAAAGTTCTACTTCACTGTAGTTTCTAACTAGTTATTATAGTCAGGCAAACCAATACATTACACTATAATAATTAAAGTACCTATACTGTTGTTAATTACTAAATAAATGTAATTCCAGTAAAACTACAGAATAGTTCTACATTAGCATAAAAAATAAAACAGATGATGAATCTAGACAGCAGTATTTCATAACATTTTGGAATTTGCTGCTCCACTGAAGATTTCCTCTCACTGCACTTCTCTTTCCAGCAACCGTGTATACAATCAAATGAAAACTTTGGGGAGTAAATTAACCCCTCATTGATGGGTACAGCTATAGCAGTCATCCCGTAATCATGTATTACTTGTCTACATGTCATAATTCATTCGCTCAGCAAGAGGGTTGGGCAGCTGATAGCAGCACAAACCCTGCCAGAAAATTTAAACGGTTGTGTAATAATTCCAACACAGAAAATTCTGGCCCTGTCATGATTGGGATAAGCAAACCTACTATGCTAAAGCTCTTTAGATGGAAAGGAAGGAAGGAAGGAAGGAAGGAAAAGGAAGGAAGAAGGAAGAAGGAAGGAAGGAAGGAAGAAGAAGGAAGGAAGGAAGAAGGAAGAAGAAGAAAGAAAGAAAGAAAGAAAGAAAGAAAGAAAGAAAGAAAGAAAAAAAAAGAAAGAAAGCAAGAAAGAAAGAAAGAAAGAAAGAAAGAAAGAAAGAAAAAAGAAAGAAAGAAAGAAAGAAAGAAAGAAAGAAAGAAAGAAAAACTTTTGAGAAGGGTATACCACATATCAAATATTGTCAATATTTGCTAGATGGTCTCAGAAAATATTTACATTTTGATCCATTAACTCCAGGCTGAAGAATAGGTGACAGGATTATGCCATTTTGGAACATTCCGGCTAAGAGTTAGGGGTGACAGAAATTTGTTGTCATGAAAAATTCAGCATGCCACAGAGACAGGATTAACTCGACACTAAAGCTCTTGAAGGATATTTTGACTCTGTGGGCATTTAGAAAGGGGCTCTAGAATTATTTACACCAGTAAACAAGGGTGGAATGTACAATCTGTAACCCATAGCTGGAAGAGCATCAGCTCCAAGAAGCACACTATTTCCATGCTCACAATTCAATTCCTGCCTGCCATGACCAGCAGGCAGGAATAGTATAAAATACTAAAATTACACAAATAACAATATATTGCTTATTGTTATTGTTATTACACAAGAGTTGCAGACTATCCAGAGAGATGATCTGGACCTTATGGATCCTGTGCAAGGATAACAGCTTAAATTATAATCTTGAGACAGCCTATCAAATGACAAATATTGACATTGGAAAATGGTGAAAAACAAACAAAAAACATGTACACAGAAAATGAGATAAAAACATTGCAATGAGGTGTGAAAGAGTTTTGACAATGGACAGTAGGTTTTGTGTAGGCTGTGCCTACAAACCACAAATAACTATTGAAATGAGCCTAAAGCCTGGATTTTAGCTCCCAGCCATAATACATCAAACTTATTGCCTGATGAAAATAATGAACAATGAATGACCCTTTCTATCATGCTTCCTCTTCCTCTAAGCTATGACACAACACTAGAAGAGTCGATTTTAATCATATCATTGTGGTTTCACTGAAAGTGGAAAATCTTTATAACCGTTTCATGTGACTAATACAGGCAATAATGGACCCAATAGATTATAAGAGGCTTTACAAATGCAAAGTCCCTTTTCATAGTCAGCCAGTCAAATCAGTTGTGAGTGTATAATGGCATCAGCTGTCAACTAAGGGAGGGTGGAAAGGCACTGGCAGCTTAGTATACATTCCCTTTAGAATATGGCCCAGTCCACTTTGATACATCATCATATCTTGTGCCAGTACTGCAGCCAATACAGGGCATCTTGGTTTGCTTCATGTAGGTCTTGGTTGGTGACATTTGGACTCAGTTCACACTCACAGAAAATGTGTCCCATTGTTTGGTTTGGATGAAAACATTGATACAGCTGAGTTCCCCTGTCCCCATTTCAGCAGGTTATCTCTAGTCCTTCCTATTCCACTCCAATTTGACATAGAAATATGGTAATTGCAGCAGCTCTTTCAACCTTCACCCTTCACTGGTAAACAATCAACTGATATGAATTTGCTTTTAACTAATGTGCATTTGCATAGAACAAAAACACACATGTTAGGAAAACATTCAATGCATCTATAGATCAACAACTAAAATTTAAATCAGAGGCTAATCCTAAGCAAGGATTGTCTCATGTTGCTTATTGCTCAGGGCATTGGAATCAACAGTTCTAAGCTGGTGGGACATACAATAGAAATACAATTGGGTTTATCATCAAACAATTAACCAGTTTACATTTTGTTTTTACATTTGGCAGAAATCAAATACACTTCATACATTTTGTCTCCGTTTCCCCCATTCAAACCCCATAGGTCACATCAAACTATATGAGGAATACTAAAACTTGTCTATGAGTCCTGTTGTGATAGACCAAATATTTACCTAAAATTGCTATGACAGAATAAATCTTTAGGTAATTTTCCTGCTGCTATGTAAACTTTAGCAAGCTATGCTTACAAAAACTTATCAAATCAATGAAAGCTCAATAGAACAAGCTGATGTTAGAATGCTATCTCTCAAATGAAATCTCTGACTTCTGAATGAAAATAATGTTGTGCTGATGCATTGAGGTGAAAGTTCTTAATGCTATGCATTCAGGCACAAAACTTTCAGATGTTAATATCTATTTACTTGTGTTATCCAGGTTCTGTCTCAAATGAGTATAACAATGTGAATGTTTTTCAACTTGGAAGTGGGTATATATAGCTCAGCAACCCCTTTAAGTTTTAAAACTTGCTTGTGGATGTCTATCAAAATACTATTTGCTGAATAACATTAATGTCACATGAAGAACCCTCATAAATAAGGAAGATATAATTTCTCCTAGCATATGACATAACTGACTGGATTCAACTTATACATTTTGGTCGGTTAATCTTTAGGGTATGACTGCACTGAGGTAGGGCAAATTGAATATAATATTCTTATAGAGAACAAAGAGTTGCAGTCAATACAAGATATATTTTGAAGACAGGAACGGTAACGCCAAAAATAAAGGAAAAATATTGCAGAAAGTGCCGCTCAGCCTTAGTACATTCGGTGCTCCCGAGTTTCAGCTCCATCTTGCTGTGCATACCGAGGTAGAGACAATGTTTCCCAGAGGGTGTTAGGGGGCAAAGCCCCCCCCATCAACTTGCCCTTCAGGCACACCCAGTCACAGCAACTAAGAATAATGAATAAACTTTTTGACATGGAGTTAGGGATTTAGTCTTTGGCGAGTGAGTTCATACTGTAAAGACCTGTTGGTCAATATTCAGAACACCTTCACATACCCAGTCATGATGAGAGTGGTATCAATGGATTTCTCTCGCCATCTACTACCTATATATGTAAAATACTTGCCATGAAAACCCCCCAACTCACCACATTCTTTGCTCCAATAGCAGGGGAGGGAATGAAAGATACCAGGGATACTACTGGGTAAAATATGAATCATATAAACCAAATACATCACTTTATTAACAATATACATAATGCAAATCCCTATCTTATCTAACACTATGGGCTGTGCCCCCAACAACCCCCCTACAGGGCTGTCAACCCTCAAACCTCGCCTGAGAAGACAAAGAATTTCCCAAGTAATCACAGAACAATAGATATGCTCAATAGGTAGGGTGAACATGGCAAGACACTGCCAAGGTATGAAACTACATACTGACCGATTCTACATATATTATTCATATTTTGTCCTGGTACTTTTCATGCCTTCCCCTGTTATCAGGTCAAAGACTGTGGGTCTTAGTGGGGGGAAGGTTCCACGCCATAATTTCTATGTACGTGGGAAATAGAGTATGAGAAATCCATCGATACCAGTTATCGATACCATCATTATGACAAGTTATGTGAATGTATTCTGAACATTTACCAAATAACATTCTGATGGGCATATAATTCAAAATGTTTCAGTTACATATCTTTCTCTGTGAAGATATTAATTAGCATTTAGTACTTGCTTCCACTAGTTTTTACAGTCTCACTTCACTTTCCCTTTACTGCACATCCAGCATCAGAGGCACAATGAACCAAAATTAATCAAAACCATTCCAGGTAATTAGTAAATGCCCTGAGTAAGACCACACCGTAAGTAGCGGACACGTAACCCTACAGCAAGGAATTTCTCGAATGAGTACTGTTAGCGTATTGCCACCTGTTATTTTGAGTTTCAGCCAAAATAAATATAAGGCAACTACATTTACTGTTAGAGATCGGAGGAACAAAATGGGAATAAGAGAGAAACTTTTAAATCAATTATATTGGCTAATTCAAACTACTGCAAATTTACTCGCACAAAATTTTGAGGTCAAAGATTTGTCATTCACGTAAAACGTTTATATAAGATCAATTACACATATTTATACCTTAACATTCCATTTTCACTAAAGTCCAATACATCAATGTGGTCTTACCTCACTTATTGTCGCATTTTCCCGGGTGTTAAATCCGTAAATCCAACATTAAAACACACACACAAAGTTTGTTTCAACCTCAACGTTTTCGAATGTTGTGGTGCTGGCGGGCGGCGGCCTCTGCGCATGCGCGGAACCAGAGAATGAGGCTCGCGCGCTAGCTAGTTATTTTCTATTCGTTTTGAACAAAGATTGTGAGTATTCTTTGATTTTGATTCGTAAATCTTGTAGGTATATGAATTTCACATAGCTACTTCAGGAGTTTTTAAAGATAGGAATGAGGGGTTTAAAATTCATGACTATTAGTACATATACGCCGTCTGCATGTGCGGATATTCGCAGATTTTCAATCACAAATATTTTATTTCTGATATTATATGCTATGATATTGTTACTATAATTATAGCAACCAGTAATGTCTAAGAAAATGCGAATAAAAATGATAGGTATTCCCCCCCCCCACACACACACTTTTTTCTCTGTTACACGGGTCATTTTTTCATGTTTTCCTATGTATTTTGGTAAGCAGACCATATATGACGTTTAGTGTCAATTAGGTCATAACTGGAGCGGCATTAGTTATTATTTAGAAAAATACAAGATGTGTTTTTTTCGTGATTTCATTACCTATAATACAGGTGATATACAGTACATGTGAGATATCAGTCATAGAATGCAAAACTATGCGGTTTAACACGTGTCTTTGGTTATTTCACCCAGTAAGATCAGCTGCAAGGCTCTACGTAATATCAAATGATTTTTTTTTTTTTTTTTTTTTTAGTCAACTGCGGCTGGCCAAGTCCTAAAACGTAGACTTGTTTAATTCGTTTAAACTATTACGGAAAATAGATGAGTATGAATAGTAAGAAAACCGTAATAATAATATGAATTTCACTGAATGCCTTTCTTTCAAAGATGACAAATT